TCTCTCTCTCTCTCTCTCTCTCTCTCTCTCTCTCTCTCTCTTCATATTTCCTCCCCCGGTTGTTTTAAAGTGAATAAAATGCAGGTTACTGCAGTCTGTCCCTGTCCACACTAACCCTGGAGTGGTGACCTGTCTTTTCTCTATCTCATTAGCATCACCAGCTTCCAACGCAGTCCGTCAGCAGCTGAGCTGCTCAGTCAGTCTTTCTGTGTGTCATTCATCCCGACGCTGATTTCATCAGTTTAATGTGAACCAGTGGATGGAGAGCCCTGGCCTGCGGGGCAGTGAGGCGTGTGCTAGCTCCAACGTGGCAGAGAGAGCTTTAGTAACTATAAATACCACGTCTTCTGAGGACAGCGGCCTTGGCTGCTGAGAGCAAACAGCTCAATAATTCATCTATGCTCTGYTTTAAGCTGCGACTCCCCTTCCCACACTCTGGCGCCTCGTGTTTGTGTGATCACTAAGTTTTGCCTTTCTGTCTCGTGTCTCCTCAGGTGTGTGGTTTTGTCGGCCTCTATTATAACGTGATCATCGGCTGGAGCATCTTCTATTTCTTCCAGTCGTTTCAGTATCCTTTACCCTGGGCTGAATGCCCCATCAAGAGAAACGGAACCCAAGCCAGTGAGTTGTTCAAACACACAACAGGAAATGAATATAAATGTTTGTTTGGAAAGTTTTTTCTCATTTTCTTCATTAACAATGTGATGCAAGACCACAACACTGAAACGAGTTTAATTTGTTAAAGCAGTTCACAGCTGCTTACAGCTTAATTTTTTTAACAATTTAATAACAATATAGTATTATAGTTTTACTACATGAATTTACATGTAATTTGTAGGGGTGCAACAATACATGTACCCGTATTGAACCGTATCGAACAGTGCTTTAGGTTCAATACACACTTGTATCGAACAATACAGATATTTAAAATTTATTTTATCAACTTGTCTTCTGAAGATGCTCTGTGTTGAAGCACAGATCAGTGGATCTGTGTTCGACTCCACCTAGGCTGCATTGAGAAACTTGCTGTTTCAGCAACATTAAATTTAAAAACTGGACTTTTAACGTTTAACAAATGTTCATACTTAATTTAAATAAATTACAAGTTAAAAGGGACATGGAAATTTTTCTTTTTTGTATCGAAAACATATCGAACCATGACACTAAAGTATTGAACCGAACCGAATCGTGAATTTTCTGTATTGTTGCACCCCTAGTAATTTGGAGCCAAACTGTTTAATAAATATTGCCTTTGCTTGGCAATTTCTGTAGTTAATCTATGGTTTCATGTTCATTTTAAAGCCCATGCAGCAAATCTGTTTAAAAAGAAGATTTTAGAATAGCTTACAAGTACGGAGGATAAAAATAATCAGAAACGTCCACCTATAGGGGGCGTTATAATAAACGTCTTTGCATTTTGGTTCTTTACCTTCTAAACTAAACCATAAGTCACACATTTTTTTGCTTATAGCAACAGATCCCTGCACATCAATGAGTCACATGGTATAGGCCACTCCCATTGTCACTTTTTTTGCAGTACAAAATTTGCAAAAACCTTCTTCTATTTCTTCTAGTGGTTTCAGTTTAAAGTTAAATCACCACAAAACTCTTCTTAAAAAATAATCATAGTTAAGTTTGTGCCTATTACAGTTAAAAAATCATTTACATTTTTTGAATTTGAGCAAATTTTCTCTATTTGTTAAAAGCTTCGTTAAAAAATTCTCATGTAAGTTTTTGTGTGTTGTTTGTTTGTTTGTTTTTTTCCACTCTGCTGCTGTTTTAGTTGTGGAACCAGAATGTGAGAAAAGCTCTGCCACCACCTACTTCTGGTACCGTCAGACTCTGAACATCACCAGCACCATCGACGACACCGGCGGCCTGAACTGGAAGATGACCCTGTCCTTGCTGGTGGCCTGGATCCTGGTCTGCCTGGCAGTCATCAAGGGCATCCAGTCCTCCGGGAAGGTACGTGGGCGGTGCGGGGGTTGAACGTGCGGATCGTCGTAAAGATTAATCCCCCTGCATTTTGTCCCACACCACAACAAGACAACATAAAGATAAATCCTTTCAACAAAAGCTTTTCCATTTTCATTTTTAATCAGCAGTTCATCCCCGACACAAAGGCTTTTACTGACTCTGCTTTTTCGGGTAAAGGTAAAAAGCTAAGCCTCTCATGTGTCTATTTTTGGATCTCATCTGTATTATGAAAGTCAGCGATGTTCAACATTCATAAGCTTCAACTGAACCAAGAAAAAATAATCAAACTGGTTCAGGATGGAGATGGAACAATCTCACTTTGGCAAGAATCACAGAAACATCTTTTCTTCCTGATCCAAACTGTGAGTCACAGGATGTCAGAGCACAACATGCAGCCTCCAGAACAGGAACATATTCCACACAGAGCCAAACCCTGACATACTTTTAAAAACACTCTGATAGACTGCAGTCATCAGAGGCAGGACTGTAATTCTTCTGATAATCTGTAGAAAGAAAATCTCTCTGCGTCTGAACGATTTCACAGATTTGGTGTCGAGCAAACACAAAGCAGTGCTGGGACTGATCCATCGTGTGTGTGTGTGTGTGTGTGTGTGTGTGTGTGTGTGTGTGTGTGTGTG